GTGTTTTAGGATCCTCAACCAACAGTCGCAGTACATCCGGCTTACTCGCGAAAAACCACGAGAGGGGTGGCTGCCTTACCTAAACACCCTGGTCAAATTAAGCAATGGCATTGTAACAATGAAGTGGTATCGCAAGAATAGTTGCAAAAACATCCTCATCAATGCAAAGTGTGCACACCCCATGAGCACTAAACTAGCTGCAATATGTTTAAAACAGCAACGATGGTGTGCACCGGAGAGGATGAAGGCCTCGAAGCGCGATGTCTAGCCTCACAGATCGCCCGCAGTAACGGCTAGGCAATTTCGGCGCAAACGCAAAGTCATAATCGTCAACAGCATTTACGCAAAGACCGCATTCGAATCGAAAACAAAATCGCACTCTGCCTCCCGTTTATTTCAGATAAAGTCAGCTCTGCCTTCCAACAATGCATTTCGCGGGCACAGCTACTAGACCATGTTGTTTTGGTTAACATACCGAACGACAATCTCAAAAAAACAGCTTCTCCGTAATCGCCTTTACGATCGACAATGTATAACGGAGAATTGCATTGTGTGTCCATACATGCCTCGATTGCAAAGCAAAATATATTGGCGAAACTGGTAGAGTGTTAAGCTACGCTTAAAAGAACATCTGGCAGGCAAGAGACGAAAGAGTTCAGTAACCCCGTGGCAAACATAGGAGTGACGCGCATGAGGGAAATGATTTTGCAGTTAAATGCAAAATTCTGGCGTTTGAAACAGATATTACGGCTAGAAAGATTCCAGAGGCTTTCTGAATATCCGCAAAGACTCCAGAAATGAATAACAAGAATGAGTGCCTGTCTATAACCGCTGAGTTTCTGCCGTATGTGCCACTGTGTGAGTTGTAGATAGTGGATAGCGACTTGATGCGCATTCTACTGTATCACTCACTTGTCCGTCAACTTGTGTCACATCCAGTCGTACGGACATTTCGAAAAGCTGTGGTGCAAGGGTGAGTATATCTGTCTTGAGGATTTTTGCGACGCGAAGTTGGAATGAAGTCGAAACTGGCTGAGTAGAGGAGATATCTGGTGGTCTGGTATTACGGATGATGCCTTGAGTCGTTTTCAGGCCTCTGAGGACGACGAAAGCGTCGAAACGTTAGGCCAGTACGAATAAATCTGCCACCATAATAAACCTGTACGGCACAATAGAGTTGAAGATTATAAGCATGCCCAGGTTTAAAGAATACGGAACATGGAAATTATTAAAAATTGGAGGGTTTTGCGCCTAAAAGTGTCCTCTGATCTTTATTGATCACGTTTCCGTTTCAGGCGAAGTGTTCACAATTGTTTAACGTGACAGTATAGGAAAGTATGTATAATTTTCCGGTGTCTTCCGCTTTTCTTACGTCAGCATGATGTGGGTAGGACGTGCATTGCATCTTTTTCCATGTAAACCTACATCTATAGGCTGGTGCATGACGAAGGCGCAATAACTTTGGGCGCGAACGCGGCTTTGTTAGCCGCAGAGCGCATGAGGCGCAGGATTTACAACGGTGTAGATACGCGCGCGCCGCGTTCGCGACCGCTCAACTGATATTGCTTCTGCGCCTTCGTCATGCAGTAGCCTTTAGTCTCACTCAGATTTTTTCACTATAAAAAATTATGCCAATGGCCGTTAAATGGTTCCGTATATTGAAAACGTCTACGATCCGGATCGATAGCGCAACCTTTCTTACGTTATCGAAGCCCGACTTGCGAGATCCTCCGTTGCAAATCAAATGCTTAGGTGATATAAAGCGTGAAATAGCAGTCTTCTTTTGAAAAATCTAAGTTTATCTCCATTGTGGCTGATTCATTGTGCTTTCCAATCCTACTTCCAGTCTCTTTCTGTGCCGACCTCTCCACGGGTGTCTTGATCACCATCACAAGATGATTTACTTTATTGTCAAGCTTGTTGTATGTTCACCTCATTGTAGATCTCTGAAGTGATTTCACCTTGTTCTCCCATATTGTTGTTGATAAATTTTCTTGAATAGTTTTTTCGTTTCTCGATAAAGTGTTAGCTGCACCACTACGATCACTTTTGATTCAAAGAGGTAATCGTAAAAAATTAGGGTCAAAAGGGAATTTGTTTTGGAAAATACCTTTTGCTCACTGCGTGCCGGGCCTCGACCTTTTACCCTCACACGCTGGTCTTCCGAAAAATATGCTTTTCTTATACCCTTTTTCTAGTTGTTTCTTACATATGCTTTCGTTTTCGCGAATCTGTCCATCCCAGAGTTCTGTCCCTCAGAAATAACAAAGTAAAAATCAAATTTTCTCTTCTCACTTTCTATCTTTGAAGCCGTGAAGATTATTCGGATTTTTTCTAATAAATGTTAATGTTGAACCTGGAGTTTTGTGCTAAAGTACCCATTAAGATCGATTATTTTTAGGAACCAAACTAAAAAATTTAGAATCAAACTTGACCGTTTGCAAGGTCGTTTGGCTTCACAAAAGCTCTGGGAGGGATGCGATTGCAAAATTTCGCTCTGCTCTGCTAAACTGAACTTAGTAAAGCTTAGATCGCGATGGCAGTTCTTCTCATTTCCTAGAAAAGAAAACAATTAAAAACTTGAAAAAAAAACAGTTTTTTACCTCCCCTGAAAGTTTTTACATACAACCATTTTCCGAGATAAACTACGTCTGGATGTCAGAACTTGCGCACAAAAGAGCAAGATCTTCTCCGAAGCTAAACTACAACGTCAAGTCTTGCTTTTTTGCTTTTCTCTTTTCTCAAGTAAAAACTTTACTTTTTATACCGTAGTACTCTCATGCTGTAGCAGAATAAACAATGGGGAATAGTTTTACGATTGTCTTCACAAAAATTGTGTAGTCCCTACTAACAACTAAGTTTGCATCGAATCCTCAAATCGTCTCTTCAGCTCTCTTAAAGCTGTGCAAAGATAACACGAAGTTCCAATGTTAGGCACAAACAGTCAGTAGGCGATTGTTGACAACGGTTTATTGATGCTGATAAGATTTGGAAGAGGCTTTCTTGACATAATCTGCAGCCCGATTTGCTATAAATCTAAAGCCTTACATCCAGTTCGATTTACAAATAGAAGATATAATGAGCTGTAATTGCAAGTATTAATATTTTCCTTTAAGGTCACTAGTTCTTATTTTTGCAGAGGTTGTTCCGCACGATGATGGTATTTTGGGCGCAAATAGTCTTCATCACAGCGACAATCATTTCTTTTCCCCTCTATCTACTTATTATCATTTGCATGAAGGAATGGAAACAAAATACTTTTTACCTTCTGATTATTTCGCAGGTAGAGGTAGTTTATCTAGTTTGAGTACTAGACTCATCATTTACTTCACTCAGGGTGCGATTGACCTTCTTGTAATAATAAATTATTTGGTATTTGCGACACTTCGCTTGTCTGGCCTTGCTGACGAACTCGTTTGGACCTATCAAGTACCATTTGTAGCAGCATGGTCTTTCATCCAGACTTATACCTCCGTTATCATTCGCTGCTTTGGCGTCCTGGTAATATCGCTGCAGAGGTATATTTCTTTATGCAAGAAAGGCACGAAAGTTGAGCAGGTAGCTACAACACTTCTTCGAATTTTTATGATGTTTTGAATTTAGCTCATGAATACAAGCCAGCGGTGGATTTTACCATTGATCCAATGGATTTTTCCGATCGTTTACTCTATTCCAATCTTATCTATCGAAGATGTTACCTTTCTGTCTAGAGAACGCCTTGAGGTGCTTGTCAACAAGGAGGACATTACGGTAGGTAGCTGTCGTCTGGTGGTGAGGGATGATTTGAGCGGTAGTCGCGCATAATCAACTTTTACATCTACGTTTGTCGCGGCTGCATACTAGGCTGTTGCATAAGTTCTGTCCGATTTTTTTGCCTCATGTTTGAAGCAGCTGTTCTAAGAGAATTTCATCTCTAATTCGATACGGTTGGTATCATTGAAAAGTGCTTTCCTTGCGCTTTCTAAAGCATACCAGAATTCAATAAAATTCTTAGTGTACGGAGATCACAGGCCTAAAATCTCTAAGTGGCCGAGGTACGTTCTATCCCTAGAAATATGTCCTTGCGAGGATATCTCCACAATGCGCCCTTCAAGTCAGGTTCTTTCATTGGCTTCGGAATAAGGGTATGGAATGCTAGTATATGCAGAAGTTCGGTCCCATGAAGAATACGTCTTGCTAGTGAAATTTATCCTCGAACATAAATCTTTGGTATAGATGTTTTACAAGCAATAACTTTCTGCGAATAGAAGTAATCGACAAGCTCAAAGTTGGAGGTGCTAGGGCAAAGCAAGAGCTAACAGGGCCCATCCACCAATTCCTTTTCGGCGCTCACGTCAGTTGTAAAACGTTCGTAGTTCATAAATAGGCATGCACACATGTGCTGAAGCGAGGTCAAAAAGTGGCTAATTTTTTGTTCGGTCAAGAAAATCTCTCGGCAGCGCAAACCCTATGGGCTCTTTTATGTTGCATAATAATCTACGAAAATTTCTCTATCCATCCATTATTAGAAAAGATGCCTATCAATTTTCATAAGGGAGCGTTACCATGTCAAAAAAGACAGATTCGAAGAAAAACGCTGCGAAGTTTTTGCATTCTTGGTTCTTCCTTAACAAAGATTTGCGCAGATCTCAATATGCATTTTTTAGCCAAGGGACTGCTCAACACATAGAAACTAAGATCTTGGAAAAAAGTTGACTCTGAAAGAAGTTATGACATTTTAAACTCAAAAATTCAAATCGGACAGAACTTATGCAACAGCCTAGTACTTGGAGTTATAAATGACCAAATGATCACTTCGCATCTTATCTTCATCAGAGATTTGATCACCCAAGCGATCCGGATGTGGTGCGCGATCTATCCGAACCCCCCCCCCCCCCCTCACTCCTGTGATGCAAAAGTATTGAATGATCAAGTACATGAACTTGCCATTTTGAAAGCGTCGTTGACTTTGTAGGGCAGCATAGCTAGTACAAGTGATTCAGAATAATCACAATGCAGAAATGAACGTGGAAAGCATTCGTGCGAAATCAATCGCAGAGCCACGAGCTACGTTGGCAATGACACAAAAGGCAAAAGGCTCGGGGATTGATCGCATATTTTCGGATAAACGGCGACAAGACGAGGAGAGCACAAAACTGACCTCCTTCATGGTGAGTAAACGAGCTCGAACAGCTGGTGAAGGGGACATTTTGGCAACTGCGTTCAATTTTAGAAGCCTGACTGGTCCACTAGATTGGATCACAAGCAATGACGAGTGTTATAAAGCGAAAAGGAGCGTAAGTTTCAAATCAGCCGGCCGATCATCGCCGCCGCCAAGGGGCGCAGCGGCCGAGAGACAACAGCGACCGATGGTTGTTTATAGCCCCTCTGCGCACACACAAACAACAACGTGGGCCCCCCGTTCTAGCCCCTACGAGCAGATCTTCCGAACTCTGGTCAGCGCCGCACAGCTGTGGATGAATGCAAAATTCTCGACAGAACCTTCTATCGAGGAAAGAAAGCGAAAACCTTCAGATGCCTTGAATTCCATTACTTGGTTTGATAAACGTCGCCATCTTGGTAAGTTATGCACTTTTGGCAAGGAAGTACTTCGAGTTTCTTGGTCTTTCAAGGACTCTTTCAACTTATAGGTCATTTATAGAATCGTTAATTTCTAATGTACAACTGAAATAATTCTAATATATTTTGATACTTTGATATTGATATTTTATATATATATATATTTTAGTATATTTTTCAATAAAATAATTTTGAATATATAACTTGGAAACTACGGAATAGCGAGGCAATTTTATGAGTGAAATCTTCATGGAAGCGCGGTCAAGGGGCCCACTCCCTCCAAAGGTCCCCAAATCAACGGCAGTTCAGAGCTATACAACCTTTCAAGAATTTCAGACAAAGATTCCTACTAGCTGTTTGATCTTACCATTGCTAAGACAGCTATTGATAAATAATTGGTTGAAAATATCAGGAAATTGTCACAGGTTGCATTTTTACGAGTTTTTGACCTATAACATTTACTTTTGAATCTAGGATTGAGGTTGCATAACGATCTCATATAATTCCTCAAGTGTTTGAAAGTCTCGAGAACGTTATCAATTACTGAAAATGTGCTGTTTGGTCCATTTGACAATAGAATCGCGCCTCTTGACATACTCCCAAATTTTCACAAGTTATAACACGTAACGTGTGAACGGAAGTAAATCTTTGGACTGAAGAAACGGAATATGTCTACTTGCGATTTCATTTTATAATATTTAATTTGTGGTAGTGATCTAGTTCCTGCCTTCGCCATAGCCTAAGGAACGACAATGTCACAATAGCTAATTTTTTCAGCTAGACAGTATAACAGCCAGTATGCAGCACTTTTTATTTACGACATGGCAAAGTGAAATAGCTCCAACTGAAATACCTGATCGAACGCAAGAGTCACAGTAATTGGCAACACTCAAATTTCTGATAACGCGCGTGAGACCTCTCAGTTGGGTGAAGTAAGTTCCTGACCATCTAAAGATGGAACAACTAAAACATTCTTTGATCAGGTCATGACATGACTATTACTCAGCCCAAAGGTGCCGATATTCTTTCCTTCACTATCCATCATTTCTGATAACGCTTGTAGAGCATCGTCATTTTGAACATTGCTATACAATGACACTACATCAAATGATTCAGCTGCGGAACTGTCGTCAAACTGAGCGTTCCGTAATCGTTCAAGGAAGCGGTTAGTGTTGGATAAGTGGGACGGTACTCTTCCCAGTAGCTGATTAACAATTTTGTTCAAGAATCATATATACTATCGGCTGGCCCGCCAACACAATTGATAATTTGTCTTATTTCAAACTAGTTGGCATTCTCGGTCCAGCCCGGGTCATTGGTCACCTGCACTGCAAGCCCCCCCCCCTTCTTATATGTTGTGGATGACTTACCCTGGGACCCGCTTCGAAACCGCATCCTCGTGATCCTGAGGTGAAAATGAAGTTTACCGCCATCCTTTACATGACTGGTAAAATGCTTGATTAAACATGATAAGCCGTCAATTCCTTAGGAAAGCGTAAGCAAATCAGTGAATCGATAGAAGGACCCAACGAATCGCTGCGAAAAGTAGCCTATCATTTGCGCAGGGGTCAAAAACATATGTGTGCAAAGTTCCAGCTGAATCGGGCACCAATCCAGATGAGACATATATCATTATAAAGCGCTTGAAACGATGGTTTCGAATTTGTAGTTTTTAGCAGCGGAGAGGTTTTGCTGAAGGAAATGAGGATTGTTTCCCTCTGGGGTTGAGGCGCCCACCAGCGGGTCTCCTATCTATGAGCACCGTAGAGGAGTAACTGGTGGCAGCTGTCCTGGTGGTAAGTGCTGCTTGACTTGCTTGACAAGGAGAGTGTCAGTGTCAAGGTTTCTAAACCCCTTAGCCTGCAACTTCATCGCAATTTTTGCGAAGTCATAGAGCCTGAAATTCTGATGATATTGATGCTAATCGAAGTTAGAAGTGATAAAAGAAAACTAAAGCAAACAAGTATTATAATCCTTATTCTAAGCTTCATTCAAATTACCTACTACTAATGGCAGCAGTCATACTACAGTGCTTATAGATAAGGAGAGACCAGCTGGAGGGCGCCTCAGCCCCCGAAGGGAAATATCCCTTCACGACTCCTTCTACAAAACCGCTCCGCTGCTAGAAACAACAGATTAGGAATCAGCGTTTTAAGCAATTTCAGACGATATGTGTTTCATCTGGATTGGTACTTTCGACTAAGTATCCTCTCCCTGTAAGAAAGCTCTCATCAAGACCGACGTATTTCCCTACTGCCATCCATACATGATTAACACGTTTCGGACCGGTGCTGCGCATGGTGCAGCACGCGCCTTCAAAGGATCTTGTAAACGCTTACAGGAAGTTTTCTTTTTGTCCAAGGTTAGCAAGTCAAAGGTCTAAGCTCCTCATTTCGAAAGGGTCTGTAGAGATGTGCCATCGATAATTGTTTAGGAGATATGAGGACAAATCGAACATCAGTTGCAACGAAGTGCGGCAACGCGAACGACGCGTGCGACGTCGCAACTATTCTTAGCTTTGAATGCAAAGATAAAAACCGTAGTTCCAATAATGATGTGTATCGTGTACAACATAGATACTTTTGGATACAATTGGAAACTGAGTTCTTGTTTCTATCTTTCAAGAAAGCACAGAAGTCTTTCCCCGACGACAATGTTCAAACACTTCGAATTCACTTAGAACTCTAGGTATGGATCTTATCTGACATACTGATTACGGATGTAGCACACAATATACGAATTGGCTAACGGCTGAAAGCACCCTCTTTTTCGCCGCGCGCGATTTCGCGGTCCGAAACGTGTTAAGCTGTTTATATTGCGCATGAAATTCCTTTACGGTGACGCGATGGTATTGTTGCATCGCTAAGGTGAAGTTGTGTGATTTCGCGATCTAAGTCTCGTGGTACAATCACAAATTCTCCACCTTTGTTACTGACGAATATGTGCACAGCCTCACTTGCTATCAAATCACGCAGCTCTTTGTAACCAAGTCTTTGTGAATGAGTCATGTTGACGTGATGATGTCTTTTGGCCCGAGTGTAAACGGATAAAACACCAGACAACAATATTCTGAACTTGACATCGGCCTCAGATGTTGGTTGAGGCTCTCTATATAACAGACTTGGGAACATTATAGTGGGAAGCGTTGGTCTCAGCCTTGATGCTCTTTCAACAACCTCTGGATCTCTGCTCTTATCAACTTTGGTCTCAACTCTAAGTTGGTCTCGAAGTCTTTGAAGGCCGGCCACGACCTTACAAAAAACAGACCCGTTAACGTTCTGACTGATAGAGAATGGTGGACCTAAACCAAGGAACTAAAAAACGCGTTATCAAAAATTTGAGTGATGCCAATTACTGTGACTCTTGCCGTTCGATCAGGTATTTCAGTTGGAGCTATGTCAGTTTCACAGTGGTTTTGCTTAGGTGAGTTGCATCCATTCAATCTTTTACGAGGGCACCAACAAATTTGTTGTACTCGGCCTGGAGGGAGGATTTAGCGTTAGATCGAACAGAATCACAGATCAACCGAGAGCCGTTCTCAATCCTCATCCAAGTCGGATTGGCTAGAAGACTTCGACACGCTTGTTCTTTAGTGTTACATCTCAAGAGACACGAATGTAATGTATGTTGCTTCTCTTTGATAACGACTCCGAGGATCCGTCGGTAGATGTTCTTAGTCTTTGGTTGATCTTCGGATAGGCAACATAATAAACCAATCTTCTTGTTTGAGATGAACCGAGGAACGATGTCGTCCGTCTTGCACGCTTCAAGAAAATCAATGCTTGGCGCGTCGCAACCACTATTTGGCGAAGCGATAATGGTGAAGATGGTCAGGAACTTACTCCATCTAACTGAAAGGTCTCGCGATGGGACAAAGACTTGCGCCAGCGCTTGCGATATGTTTTATGAGTAGAATCGAGAACCCGGTGTTGTTACGACAGCCTCTTATGTATTGGAGATATATCGATGACTGCTGTCTCATAACATCCACGCAGTCTGAAATGGAGGAATGCTTTCGATTACTGAATCAGCAGTCTCTATACTTAAGATTTACGCGAGAACAATCGACGGATGGTTGGCTGCCTTACCTAAACGCGCAATTTAAATTGTCTGGCTGTAATGCGATTGTGAAATGGTATCGAATGAAGAGCTGCGATAATATCTTACTACATGCTCGTTCTACCCATCCATCTGCTGTTAAAGGCAGTGTGTCAGCAGAATATGGGTATCGGGATTCTTGCGGTTTAGGAATGTTCTTGATCCAGTTTAACCGTATCCGTGTCGAAAAGTGTGTGAAAATCGCAAAAACCCCGGTTTTTGGATACCCCGCGTAGCTAAGGCGGACGAGTACTCCCCGCCACTCGCGCGCAGAATGGCGTCACTTGGAAGGACGTAAGCAGATATTTGCCATTCCCTCTTGCGAAATGCAGCCTTTTTGTCAGAATGATTGCATATTCTTTGAAGATGTCGTTCTACTACTACATTTATATCATCTCAAAGGCTCGTTGTCCATGTTCTACAAGAGTTTTAGGTTATAAGGTTAGTGCGAGGTGATCATCTGATGTTTCAAAGTGTATGGCATCTCAGAAATAATTTTGAGCTTTTCCGGTAGTCCGTGTCGCATTTGTATAATCCCTTGCTTTGCTGTTACGCTGTGCTGAAATTGGGATGTACTATGCAAACATCGTGTGACATCTCTTGCTTTTTGCAGATGCTAACTATGAAGCATTCGGCTGGTCTACTGATGGATTTACGCGGATGAGCTCTCTCGATCGAACGTATCTCAGGAACTATTAAGAGAGGTGTACGACATTGCGTTTTGATACTACTTTAAAAGCTCAATCTAAGTAATTCGTTTATAATCTACAACGAATTACCTAGATTGAGCTTTTGAAGTGGTATATCCTTGCAGTAGTATATTCTTGCACAGGTCGCAAAGCACGTATAGATACATGTAGGTGTATCTCACGATATAAATTTGCTGACACCGATCTAGGCGATCTACGCGATTATTGTGGAGCTATCATTGCCGTTTATTGGATTGAGTTCATTCCGCAGCAGTTTGCTCATCTCTCCGCACCTTCATGCTACCAACTTTTCAAAGGGTAGGCGTCTTACAGCTGAAAGTGTTTGTGCGGTTTTAACATAAAGATAACCTAGGAACTCACATTATATGCCACACTCAGTCGTCCACTCAACCGTGAGTATCTCTTTCTCATATACTTTATCGAGAACGATTCAAAGGTATGCATCCGCTCTTTTGTTTTCTCTCGAAAAGCTTACGTTTGCCTCATTTTTACAACAATTATATTGTTATTCTAGGTTTCCCTCTTGGTAAACGCTCACGATCAAAGCGGTTTTTCACCTCTGAAACTTACGCTCTCATCTGGTCATATAAATACGGCTAACCAGCTACTGTCCAAAAACGCTAGTTGCAACGCAGTACATGAAGCGGGCAAGTTCATTGTCGTGCGAATGATCGAAAAAGGCAGGTTGTTTTCCCTTTTGGTAGAATTTTTTTGAACGAACAGCTACCACTCTTTATCTCCAGAGAATATTCGAGCATGCAAATTTCTAGCATCTGCGGGAGCAAGTCGTCCATGAAAAGTCGCGATAGAATTTACTTCACTTCAGTGAGTTTTGCGAATTTTTCTCTTTTAATTCTTTGAAATTTGTTTTTAGAACAGCCTTACTTCTCGTATTTCAAGCAGGAATCTTATTCTGGCAAATACTCTCATTGTCAGTGGAGCCGATCTCATCAATTCTGATGTCGATGGATGGTCCCCTCTTTCTGTCGCTCTTTTTCAACGAAAAAAATTTTGCTCTTGCAGCAACTATCGTTGTTCATGTTTCTGCTAGTGTCGTCAACCATCGCATAGATGAAGGTACGCCTTTCGATGCTACCCTGGTTAATTTCGTAATCTTTGCGATAGCAACAGCGATGGGAAAATCGCACATCTCTTGTGCGGAATTCGTTAGGAAGTGGAGATGTTTTACTTTTTTTGGCTAGTGTGTCAGAATTGAAACGTTAGGTGCACGTTGCTATGCCCGTGTAGAGCAGCGGTTGGCAACACTGCTTTGCACGTGGCTGTTCGGGCTAATCGGACCTGTCATGCTGATCAATTCGAAAATGGGACAGATTCTGATGCCGTCGACGATAGAGGTTATGGTCAGTAGAGCTTTATCCTTGTATTATGCATTTGTGTATCATTGCTAAAATTCAAAAAAAAATTCAGCTTTTTTTTGCGCACCGATCATGCGGTACGGCTTGTTTCGAAGTTTGCGAATACGTGTTGATGGCTTGACACTAATTTGAGGTGGGTTTTTTCCAACTGTATAATTTTTCGTATTCAGTTTTTTAAATTTTTTTTTACTGTCATTTTGTTCTTTGAACACATTTGAAGATAAGTTGATCTCACTGAAAAAAAAAACATTGTTGCTTCCAATACAACATATACCTCGCTCGTAGACATAGCACCGGTAGAAGCTCACCTGAAAAAAATTTTTTTGTGAATGACGAAGTTAGAAAGAACAGACTCTCTCGCTCCGTTACCAGAGGCGCTTTTTTGGGAGTCATAGTCAATCATTGCGTAGGGTATTACTTTAACATTCGGTGCGTGCGGCGCGCGCGCACCGGTCCAGGAATGGGATCGCGTACCGTGCGGCCCGCGCGCCATGAATCCCTAGCGTACGCTAAAAGCCCACTATGTTCTCACCGTCCTGCCCGCGCACATGCAATTTTCACAAGCTACGAGCGCGATGGATACCCGCTAAGGTACTACGCTCTGATTAGGTTGCTCCTTCATTTGTGGATTTGGCTTATCAGTTCTTGGTAATTGATTAGTCGCAGGAACGTAGAAGGCTCTCTGTTTCTACATAGGTTATCCTTCGATAGCGTCCCGAATCGGTGCTGAGTTTGAACTTTATGAATTCAAATTCAAATTTTCGATGTGCTAAATTTGGAATCTGAGAATGCGCACAGCACGACGAGAAAGAAAAGGAAACTGCATGGAGGACTTGTTCTTTGGTAGCTTTCGGAGCGCTGTCGGTACCGTGCGCGCGCGCATTCGCGCAGTGGCGTGCGCATTTATCGTTCGGCCCCGCGCGCATTACAAAGCGCTATAATAATTTTCAACTCAGTTTAGGCGGAAATTGGACTGACGGGAGTCCGCTTCGCACGATTCGCGCCGCTCTACAGTCTGCGTCTCTTGATTCTAATCTATCTCGCTGAGCCGGTGGCGTCGCGCATGCGCTGCTCCATTTGGAATCTTTCGGCTTATCCCGATTGACTAAAGACTGTACACGAGGAGCGCGCGCGCCGCACAGATTGAATGTCAGAACAGGCGGCAATCGGTTCAGTCTGTGTATTTGGTAACGGAGGAAACTGGAGTTATTACGTCGTGTCCATCATCTCGCCGTATGATGTTTGTCGCAAACGTTTCGTGGAAACGTATGACTGGTGTATTTCTTTCCTCCATAGGTGTTGTATGGGCGTCTTTTTCTTTAGTTCACTTGTTCTCTCTTTGAACTTCCGCTTGATTCGTATCCTGGATTCCACTACCCTTTCCCCGTTCAACTCAGCCTCTCGGAGTGCATTCAAATGTAAAGTAGCCATCTTTACATAGAAAGGGTAAGTCGTTCGTGGTCTAAAAAATCCTTAGTGTAGTTCGTTGGCAATTTCTAAGAACTCATATGGCAAAGCTTACAAGAAAAGCTCCTTTGGACAGTAGAGTCTGTCGACGGCGTTCTTGGTCTCGCACTGGCTTGTGCCGCCATAGGGGCTCGCAATCATGATATCGTTTTGAAATGTCGATTGGAGCACTATCTCTTTCAACTTTTCGTGAGCGGCAGTTCCAGTAGCGATTGTTCGTTTCCCTCTCTCTTCATTCGGAGCTATTAGCTTATGCAAGCACTTTGTTACTGGCCCCGTTTGGCTATCCTGTACGTTATACTTCCTAAGTTTATGTAAACTCTACAATTAGTTTACCTTCGTCCGGTCATGAACATCGGCAACATCCTTCAAGCAGCTATTGAAAACATGCTTTATGCGGTCGCCACTTCCAGCTTCTGCTCCTTCTTTTATGGCAGTGTATAGATGAGTCTTCAGATCATCCGCCCAATCGCGTATGCTTTCGCATTGACTCCGCATGGATGCCTACATCTCGTTTAAGTTATCTAGAGATTGGATGACTAGGAGTTCAGTTCATACCGCCCTGAGTTGCTTCTCGAGTCGCCTAGCCAGATGCCAGGGGTCTAGGTACCACCTTACGTTCTCCCCAAATTCCGAATTGTACTCCCCAATCTCCTTCTGATACATAAGGTTGCGGTCAGTTGACACTGAACGTATGAGAATACGTTGAGACCGGAACCATCGCAACATATTGTGAAACCCCAATTTTTCCATCAGTCCGCTCTTCCCACCTATAACACGAAATCCGAGAAAGCTATTTTTTTCAGTCAGTCCGGTCATAACCTGTTTGACGGCGCTCCACTACTTCAGTGTGGATGCAGAGTTTCGTCTTCATGTCTACCGCTAAAACTTTGCAGAACTCTGCACTAAATCCCCTGGAGTCATATGCTCCGTCCACCGCAATATCCCACGGTGTGGGTTCCCCTTCGCGCTGAAATAACCTTTTCAAATCAGGTAAAATCAGGTAAATCAGGTAAATCAGGTACCGTCCTCGAGATGGGAACCGACATGAGCCCATTAGAGTGGTGGTGCTCGCCGCCACCGGCAACCATAGTCGTTCTGGACACGTGTCACAGCTCTAAAAAATTAACGAATGAAAGAACGGAACCATGTCCAACAATCAGAGCGCAAATGGTGCACAAAAAGTGAGGAGTAACCCTCACACCTCACCTTGTGTCCATTTGCACCGTGATAGAGTAACCTCATTATTCAAGAGACATTCGTAGTGATGAAAAGTAGAAGCAAAGGTGACTTTGCTTCAATGAATAAAGTAATAAAAAATGACCATCCTCAATGAAGCCGTTGAGTAACATATAAAATTTCTTACCAAAAATTCCAGTAAAAAACAAGTCAAAGAATGAATAGACAAATGGTAAACATCAAAACAATGGGCGAAGAAATTTGAAAAATTCTCACGCAATATGCTTTATTGAAATCGTTTTCACCCCATTCACTATCTACACCCTGTCGAGTGAACTCCACAGCCCAGTCAAGACGTGACCGCCCTCGGGCATCTTCAGCTACGTCTCTGTTTTCAAACGCTACCAATTCGCAGACGTTAACCGAATCGGAACCAAGTAATGTCAACCAGACAGCCATAATTAGGATTCTCACCCGTTTTCGAACATCTAAGCAACGTTTCATAGAGATCTTGACAAATTCCATCTCTGGATATAAAAAGATTGATTACCTGAAAAAAAAGACCATGCAAAAACATGAATTGTCTCAATTCAATTGTAAACTATAGGCACCTGGAAATGTTTACAGCGTATGATCAAAAAACAACCAGTTGCAGACAATGGTTCAAGTTCAACACTTCCTTAAGCCATTTGATATCTGTAATGCAAAGATTGTACGAAAGCACAAAGCATAAAGTGCTTCCTAATCCTCCCGGGACTCGGTCAAGAAAGATTGACGTGAGTTCAGAAGTAGAAATTATTGGATTAGTTGATGCACAAACATCTTTGTCACTTATATTGACAATGAAACATGCTTTATGCGCAGTGAAAGCGATTATTCAAGATGTTTTTGATGATAATGATCACATAGAAAGCAAAAACATAAGACTAGGCAGAGAAAACTGAAAAGGGAAAACAAGGACTCAAAAAAAAAAATTCAAAAGTGCTAACGATTTCTCCAGACATTGCGCCACACGACACGCGGGGGGTCAACTCGTCCGCCGCGAGCGAGACTGCGGCGCGCGAGCGGAATCAAGCGGGGTTTTCTCAGCAATGAGGTCACCGATTCGGCTGCAAATTGGGGCTTGACTTAGTTAGACAGTCTGCTACCTTCATGTATAGTTCTCCCGAAGACGAAGGATCTGCTGACACACTGCTTTTAAACATGCTGTTATACGAAACATGTTTAAGACCGCAGCACAAGTTTGTACAGGAGATGAAGAGAGAACGGAGTCACGAGCTATGGCTTTGAGCATCACTAAGAATAACGGATACCAAATGCACAGATTGCATGGTAGATCCAGGAAAGACGATGCTCAGCACAGTAGTAAAATACCACTCTGTTTACCTTACATCTCCGAGCAAGTCAGTGCTGGTACAGCATAGCATAAAGCGGGCACAGTTATGCAATGATATCACTCTCGTGAACATCCTAAGCGATAACATCATTAAACGACTTATGCGAAATAGGCTTTACGACAAATACTGCATTTCGAAAGAATGCACTATTTGTCCTTATAACTTTGTCGGTGATGCGCTAAAAAAGGTGTGGTATATCAGATTGATTGCTTGACATGCGGCGCCACCTACATTGGAGAAACCGGAAGAGCACTTGGTGTGAGAATGAAGGAACATCTAGCCAGTAAGAGAAAAAGTAGTCTGACATCACCTTTCAGAAGGCACAAGCACAACGATCACGGTGACAATGACTATCTAATCAAATGCTCCATTTTGGCTTGCGAGCTCTCGAAGCCTTCTGGATCTCTCATAGGAACCCGTAAATGAACAACAAAAATGAGTGTTTAACCATTACAAATGATTTTGCCATTCATCCCGTTATGTGAGCTGTGACAGAGTAGTGCAATAGATTGACTTGTATGGCTAATTTGCACTACTGATTCGGAGAATGCGGTCGCACACCACCATCGGTGCGATAGCGGTAGAGTCACGGTCATTTCGTCATCCCATTTGATTTTCACTAGTGAATCCGTAGGGCGGACCGAAAAACTGGCCAGGGTTGACAAGGCATTTGGTGAGGCAAGCATAAGATCATCAAATCGCGCACCACTTTAAGCCTTTGAAGACGAGGATTGCTCGAAACGACAGGCCGCTTTACTAATAAAGCATCGCCGAAACCTCGTGTTGGCACAACTAGCAAATAGAACTACATCATTCTAATGCCGAGGTTCAAAGAAAAAAAGGACAATCAATCTACTCAAGAATGTTTTGAGTCACCAGGGTGACTTCCTGTCGTCAATAGATTTAATATCAGGATGGAAGATCTTCGGTATACCAGGGCCTTTTTGTGAAAGTGAGGAGAGTAATGATTTAAGAATGCTTGACGCCGGTCACTCCCCTCCTATATCTGCGAGCTGCTTTGATAAAAAAGCCTCGCTACTTTTCTTCGAGTGAGACACGTTGCCAAAATGTAAGTAAGCATTCACGTTTTTGCTAGATTATGTACAGTCGAGTAGATACAGTGACCGCCAAAAAGTTGCGGACAAGCCTCCCTCCCTTTTTCATCGCTCTTTTTCAGAGAGAAAATAAGAATGAAAAAATGTAGTAATTGCATGAGGTGATAGAGCTCTTCAAGGTCTGCAATCTATACTTTAAGTTTTTTGAGAAACACGTGTTCTAAAAATTTTAAGAACCTTTTTCTAAAAAAATCCGAAAATGACCGCGTCACAATGTCGCGGACAATAATTTTTCGAACGCAAAAATATTCTTTTGAGTCCTATTTTAAAGCGGAAACACAAGTTTTCCGAACGGGTAAGCATACTACTATACAGAGCTCGTCAAGAACTACACACTGGTTGTGGTTGCTTCTCCAGAAAACGCAAGCTTGAGTTTTATTCTAGTTTTATCAAAAAACAACTTCTAATTTCCTTTATCAAGCCAAATTTCTTCACACGAAAACCTGTTCAAGACATCCCAAGAAAGCCGTCTGGATAAAATGGATGCTCTTTGCCATCCTCTATGCATCGGACGTGTGCTGATGAATTTATTGGCTGAGAATGGCCCTTGGCAGTGCTTGCACATGACCTCACCTGCACCTCACCACTGACTTGTATCGCTTTGCAGGTTGTAACTCGGCCTGCAGTCAATGTTTGAGCCTGCAATTAGACTCTTTCGAAAGAACGAGACTTTCTCCGCACGATAATATGCAAGTAAGTTTAGTTTGAGCAATGATAGAGATTTGGCGGATGGGGTGGTAGAAGGCAGCTTCAGTCGTAGTCTAAGCACTTTTCAGCTAAAGATGAAGAGAACCCCTTTCGCTACCAATTCCATCCTGGAAGTTCAAAACTGTCAAATTTCTTGTAATAGATCCATTTTGAAGCTCTAAGACTGTTCTGGTGTTCATAAGAGCTTTCACTTCAATCACCTTTAAGGCTGCACTTTTTCACCCCATCCGCCAAATCTCTGAAATTTTCTAAACTCAATTCATTTGCATATCATCGTGTCCAGAAACTCACGCTCTTTCGAATGAGTTTACTTGCAGACTCTTATAGTGTCTGGCGGCCGAATTACAAGCCTGCAAAGCGGTACAAGTCAGTGGTAAGGTGCAGGTGGGGTCATGTGCAAGCACTGCCAAGGGCCATTTTCAGCAAAGAAACTCATCAGCACACGTGATGCACGGAGTATGGTAAACAGCATCTACTCTATCCGAACAGCTTTGTTGGGATGCTTTGAATAGATTTCCATGTGAAGAAATTTGCATTTTTTTTCCATTTTCAAACTTTTTTTTAGAAAAAGATTCTCAAAATTTTTAGAACACATGTTTCTCAAAAAACTCAAGATGTAGTTTGTAGATCTTGAAGAGCTCTATCACCTTATGCAATTATTACATTTTTTCATCCTTGTTTTCCCTCTGAAAAAAAGCGATGAAAAGGGAGAGGGGTTTGTCCGCAACTTTTTGGCGGTCACTGTATATTAAGCGATAAATCTACTCGACTGTACGCGAACAGTACTTACTGATTATCCAACCAAACTTTGAGAAACGCAAGAATTTCTCTTTGTTTGTCATGAGGATGTCGTTCCGCTGCGAGGGGGTATCGAGATATATTGAAATGTAAAGAGCTGAAATATAAAAATGTATGGTGACTTAGATCTTTTGAGCTCGGCACAGAAATTTTTGAGAGATTATAAGACAAGTGAGAGTTAACTTTCTCCTGAAGCTTAACGCGAATTTCAAGGTTATCTCAAGCAAAAAGCATGACACGAGTTGGCTTCTAAGTTTTCGAGATCAAATCCCGTTTGACTATACTAAATTTTAGTTCACTTCAACTCTTTAGCCCCTTTCGACTTGATACTGAAGTTTTCCGTGCACTGCGGAAAACAAGAGCCAAATTAGAAGTGGAAATTTAGAGGAACGGAGTGCTCAAAATCTAACACTAGGAAAGCTGTATCTTATGGTTTAGAGGTAAAAAGTAAGAAATAGGCATTGCTTCGAAATGGTCTTTTCGCTATCAGATTGAACTTTGAAGAGGAACAAGCTTGTGTTGAGAATATTTTGAGGTGTGTAGTAGCCTATATTTATGCTACAGTGCCACTAGTCGGACCGAAGAGACCGACTATTTGGTCAATTGAGTTGGCTTGGAGCTAAAAAGCTGTCACCTCGTAAAAGCTTCCGGCGTTCTTTACCTAGCCACTTCACTAATGCTGTTTAATTGTAGTGCACAAATTGTCATTTATTCCAGCATTACTTATGAATATTGATCGTTTGCGAAAGAACACGGTGGAACTTGTCAGTCACGTACTTGATGTAAAGCAAAGCTCCCGGGCACCTTTTCGGAATATTAACACATTTTTTGGCGCTAGGTCTCTGTTTAGTAGAGAGAAGCCTCAATTTTCAAAAACCCGCTTCTGACGAGGGAAGTGTCAGAAGTCGCAGTGGCCTTTTGACATGGGATGGGTACCATCTTAAGCAGCTTGAAATGCTGATTCCAAAACAAATTTTCTTAGCTGCGGAACTGATCTGGGTCGCGAGTTATGGGCATTTTAAACATTGAATTTTATATTGTTTGAAGTACTCTGTGATCACGGAAACCTTTCGAGTGCTTGTTTAAGCACCACAGCATGACTTTGATGAAGGCGTAGAATTACGTTAAACATTGATGAACTGTTTCATCTATGTTTGAGCCCAAAAAAATGTTCGCTTTGATTTTTGGCTATTCTCAGCGTTGTAAATTTCCCGCAAATTAAATTCAATAACTCTCGTCCTAGATTAGTTCTGCAGCTAAGAGAGGCTGTTTTGGAATCAGCATCTCAAGCTGCTTTAGATGATACCCATTTCATGTCAAAAGGCCACTGCGAGTTCTGACACTTCCCTTGTGAGTTCTATCGAAGTCTATGTTTGATCTGCACTCTGCACTCATCTCAATAAGGAGATCTTTCCAACTGTAGAAATTTCACAACTTTTCTTTCTGCTGCAATTTTTCTGTGCAATTCAAAAAGTTTCGTTCAAATCTTGAGTGATCTGAATGAGGGACCTGTCAACTTCTAACCTGCAGCTGCACTTGAGTTTTGCGAATTCTCTCCGAAATCATAAGTTGTCGAACCTGCCTCTGACTGCAACCTTTCGCAGCTTTCGATTGCGAGGGAACGTCACTCCTGGATGATGGGTC